AGCAGAGGTGCATTTAGAATGTGGATTCCTCCCCCACCCCAGCATTTTCCTTTAGCCCGTGTGTGGAACCTAAGGGATTGTGTAGCAAGTCTTCCCGCTCACCATTGGGCAGTCTGTTGCCATGAGAACCATTTCCTCCACAGAATCCACCTCCCGTTTTCAGTGAGGACTGTTCTCATTTCTGTCACTAGTCAGATTTCCCCATTTGCAGGAACGGAGCCTGTGCAGTTGCTTGGAAGCTTTGTCAGCCACAACTGAGGGTGACTGAAGGTTTTAGTTCCTCCACAACCAAAGCCCTGGGTCATTCTGCCCTTGGCAGCCCCCTGCCTCTGGAAGAAGAGCTTACCCATGTGTTTGTGCTGTGGGTGTTGAGTACGGGGGTGGGGTGGGAGCATACCGAAAATGCTTTCTCTCCCTTAGATTTTGATTCTAGCAGATCATATATTCAAGGGTGAAGTTATTCAAAGGTGATCGTTTGAAATGCATCCTGGAGCCCCTAGGGCCCACACTTATGTTTCGTGGGCTTATTCTAATACCAGAGGCCCCTGGGTGGATCAAATCTCTCATGCCCAATGTTCAATGGTAATACAAGGAATCCTACCCCAGACACGTTACATCCTCTCCTTAGGTTTGCCATTGCCGTCAGTTATTTGTATATTTTTTATTCGACTTTCTCATGCCCTTCTAATGTGTCATCTTTTCTCCCTCCCTCACTTTACGGTAGAGCTCCAGCTTGATCTTCTCTTGCTGGTCCCTTGGTCTTAGCTAAGTCAAAGCTGAGGCTCTTCTGCCGCCCTGTGCTGTGGAATGTAGGTGACGAGCTGTGAGATGGAGCTAGTGCTTAAGCTGTGAACAGAGGACCCAAAATCCTTTTCAGAGAGTCCTAAGGCAAAGGCGGGCTATCCTCTCGGGGTACTCTTAACTCATCTCATATATTCTGATGGGAGCTTGACGGAAACCAGTGACAGTCAAAACAGACCCATTCAATCCAGATAGAAACCAAAAATGGAGACCGGGTGGGTCTGAATTTAGGAAACGGTCTTTATGATGATCTAACCTGAATGTTTCTATCCATAGGCATATGAAGCTTCCTTTTACTCAGGAGTTAGAAACCCTGGCATATTACATATGCCAAAGACTCATTCGTTAGTCAGTTTAAGCCTGACCGTCTGCCAAGCGCTGTCATGTAGTATTGAACAGAGGAACAGATAATGGAGCTTTCTGGTTTCAGGGAGAACAGATAAATAAGCAAAATAGTGTTACTCTAAAAATGAAACGATATAATAAGGTAGTGAATGCCTGGGGGAAGAGGTAGTACAGTTAGTTAAGAATTCTGCTTGGCCTGGTAAAGTTGAGATGACTATTACACATCCAAGTGGAAATACCAAGTAAACTCTTGGATATATGAATATGGAGTTTTGGGACAGATCATACCTGAAAACAAATTTAGGAGCTATTGCATTATAGATGTATTCAAACTATGAGATCCCCAGGAAGAATATACAAATGGAAAAAAAGAGAAGGTCCCAATAATTAGAAATCCAGTGGATAAGAAGCCAGCAAAGAGGGCAGACGGAGCGAGTGACAGAGGTAGGTGTCTGGGAGAGTCACAGAACCCGGAGAAGGAAATGTTTCAACAAGGAGGATCGACTGGCAACTGCCCGTGGGGTAAGATGAGGCCAGTGAAGAAAGGTCACCCTTGTCAATAGCACTTGCTGTACAGGGGAAATAAGCTGACTGGAGTGAGTTGGGCAGCACGTGGGAAGGGGGAGTCAAACTCCTGGCAGCTCATTCAAAGGCTTTGCTTTGAATGGGGAGCATCAAAAGGGGTCAAGGGCCCAGGTTTCTCTTTTTACAATGGACAATATTGAGGCATGTTTTCTCAAGGGCAGGACCCAGTAGAATGAGGGTGAGATCACAGAGCATAGATGCAAGGGCCAGCAAAGGCTAGAGAGGAGGTGCTTCCTCACTTCCTCCATCTCAGGGGAGGGAAGGCAGGCAGTGGATGTGGGGCGAGAAGATGAGGGAGTTCCTTCTTGATCGCTTCTTTTATTTCAGCGGAATTAATTGCAAATCCTTTAGCTGAGAGCGTGGGAGGGAATGGTGAGTAGGAGGTTTGAAGGGTTAAGAGAATGAGTGAAATGCTCACTTTCCCATACCAAGAAAGACAGAACACAGTGGCCTGGTGCTGCACCCACTGCATCTCTTCCCGCTGCCTGGGGGTGGTGCCAGGTCTGGCTGCAGTGTCTGTTCCTCCTTCCGCACCCAAAGCTCCTGGCCAGAGCTGACCTGTGAAGGGGGCAAGGAGCAAGGTTCCAAGACCTCAACACTCAGCCCTTCAAAAATGCCTGGGCACGCTGAGTACACACTGCCCACCTCTTCCACACACCCACTGGCCCTTGTCCTTCTCTCCCCTCTTCTTTAAGGCACTGGACAGGTGAGGCAGCTGTGACAAACAGGCTCAAGCCACGTAGGGGCAGAAAAGGCACCTAGTATTTATTCAGGACCTACTGGGTAGCAGGCACTGCATCTCATTTTGGTTTTGCACCAAGTCAATGAGAAAGGTTGAGTGACTTTCCCAAGTCAAGACTCAGACCTCTGACTGTAAAGCCCTGCCCTTCCTAGGACACCACTTGGCCTCCCTCTGGAGAAGGCAGATGTGAGCTTTCTCCCTGAGAGCTGCCATCAAAGACCGCCCCCCACCCCTCCGCGTGCCTCTGGTCCTAGCGCTACCTCTGAATTGTCACTTCTATTTCTATGAGTCCTCAGAGCCACTCAGGAAAATGTGGTGAGGCCTCTTATAGGCGTCCTCTTCCCCTCAGGAGCCTGCCAGGCTCCTGTACCTCCTCAGATGAAACAACGGACACGCTGCCCAGCTCGGGCCAGCAGCTCAAAACCACAGGCAAGACATTCATTCCTTTTGTCCACACAGAGGATGTGACCTCACAGAGGATGCCCAGCGAAACTTGGTCTGTCACCACACAGCAGCTCACTGCCCACCTTGTACTTCTGAGCCTGTGCATGTGTTCCCACGACCTGGGATGCCATACCTCCGACCCCCTCTTCTCTGCCCAACTCCCCTCCCTCTAAAGTCTGGTTGAGTATCTTTTCTTCTTGCAAGCCCTTCTTGGTCATCAGCTGCCCCTCCCCGCTGCAGTCCCCCTCTACCGGGCTCACAGAATCACTCCCTGCTGAAGTATATATCTCATAGCATTCACCATGCTGTCCTGAACCCCGGCTCCTGGAGGAGGGGGTGACTAGGTCTCCCCTTTGTGTCCTCGGCACACAGTGCCTGCTTCCTAGTAAATGCTGGACACACAGTCATTGCACTCCAGGGCGCTGAAGACTCTGGGAAAGAGAGCGGGCTTGATGCAGAGAGAGCAGAGTAGGGATGCTGGTGAGGACCAGGTAGGTTCGTCGGTGTGGTGGGGGGAACAAGTAGAGCTTTAGCATAGGCTGGGTTAATGTTGAACATCCCACTGGCTTAAAACAACAAAGGTTGGGGGCTTCCCTGGTGGCGCAGTGGTTGAGAGTCCGCCTGCCGATGCAGGGGACACGGGTTTGTGCCCCAGTCTGGAAGGATCCCACATGCCGCGGGGTGGCTGGGCCCGTGAGCCATGGCCGCTGAGCCTGCACGTCCGGAGCCCGTGCTCCGCAGCGGGAGAGGCCACAGCAGTGAGAGGCCCGCGTACCACAAAAAAAATTTAAAAAAATTAAAAGGGTTGATTTCTCACCAAAGCTACATGTCCCTTGTGGGCCAGCAGGGGAGCTCTGCTCTGTGGTCACTCGAGGACCCAGACTGAGAGGGCAGTCACCACATCTAACAGAATCACACTGTCACAGGGGCTGGGGGGGAGCATGGTGTCTTGCCTTAGCAATTAAATGCTTTTGGTTAAGAAATCACATGGCCCCGCCTAATCAGAGGGTGTCAAGGAAATGGAATTCTACTGTATGCCAGGCAGGGGGAAAACTGGGAATCCTGGGTGAAGAACAAGAGGTCTAAGGGACGTTTCTCCTAGTCCTGCTGTCAGACACGGCAGGACAACATCTCTGGGTCGCACCCAGCAGCCCTGGCTGCTTGCGAGGAGGGGGGTGGGCATCAGTAAGTGTATCTATGTGAGCACAAGGCAGTTCTCAACTGGGCTCCCCGTTCTGGTGTCACTGTACTAGGGGTGGGGCTGCCAGAGGAAACCACCAGGTGTGGCCATGGGGAAGTCCCTCCAGCTTTCTATTGAAACATGGAATTTCCTGGCTTTAACCATTTCTTATCCAACTGCCATCTCGAAGCTGACCAGAGCCAGGCAGACCTCTTCAGCCTCCTGGGGAACTTGGTTTGAGGCAGTGAGTCCTGAATGGGCAGTTGGCACACCTGCATTCCAGCCCCAGCAATCTCTGAAGATCACAGGCAAATTACCGAAGGTGTATGAGCCTCAGTGCCTTCTGTAAAGCACTTTCCAGTTGCCCATGCATTTCCAAATATACTGTCCCATGTCACTCACACAACCAATGGTGTCATGTTACCATTCTCATGCCTTGGGTGAGAAGACTGTCTGGCAGGGGTCGTATACTGTGCTCAAGGTCATACTGGAGGGCAGTGCTTGCTCTTGGACCTCTGCAGGCTCACTGGGAAGATGAGTCAGATCCAACTTCTAGAAGTGACTGGTCATAGGTCCTGGACCTCCCTGGGACCCCTGGGTGTGGGAAGTTCACTTTCCCAGGCAGCTGTCTACTTGGTTAACTGGAGCAACCTGCTCTGTAGGGGATGAGTCTGAACTTCCCTGCTCCAGTGAACCATGGCAGGTACAGAAATAGCATCCAGCGGCCCACCACAGCCACTCAGCCTCAGTGCCCGGCCTCTCTGTGTTTCAGACTCTGGGCCTGTTGCCTCCACTTGGGAGCTCAGAGCATCCTCTTTCTCCTTCCTGCCGGGGAGTAGTGGCGGCAGCCCAGCTGCCTCTGTCTCTTTAAGAGAGAGAAAGAACGAAATCAGGAAGTGAGAGAACTGAGAGCCGGCAGCGAGCTGAGCTGAGTGTCGGCCTCTGCTCCCAGTTCTCCCAGCTCCCAGGGTGGCACGCGGCCACTTCAACTGGCCCGTCTTCAGGTTCCCAGGGCCCGTGGCCACCAGGATGCTATGGGCGCTGCCCATGAATGACAACAAGCCCTGAAAGCTCGGGGGGCGTCACGCAGTCCCACAAGCCTGCATGCCCCACAGCCGAGATGGGGTGAGTCCATGGGAGGGAGGGCGTTGAATGGGGAAGCCGGGGCGCCAGGCAGCTGCAAGACAGCACTTAGCAGAGTGCCGGGGTGCTGGCCTGTCAGCAGCTGCTCTCCGGGCCGGCCCACGTCCCCTCCCTCTATCTCTCTGCGGTGGCGGCTCCTCCCTACGCCCCCAGAGGTACCCTGTGCTCCATCTCAGGTAGGCACCCTTGCCAAAGACTGTTTGGAGGCCCATGAGAGGCAAGGAAGGAGTGGCGTAGAGGAGAGCTGCAGTCCATCTACGATGCTCCCTTCCGGGGCTCTGCTTCCCAACACCCGAAGCCAGCCTTCAGCTCTGCCTCTGTACTATTCTTCTGCCTGGCTTCTTCTGGTGCCTGCCTTCACCTCTCCTGGGGTCCTTCCCACTGGCCCAGGTCCTGGGGGTGGGAGTGGCGAGGAAAGTCTCCTGGAGCTGAGGAATTGGGCTGGAAACCCCCAGCTCTGTGGGGGAGGTTGACAAACAGGAAAGGGTTAAAGGGCTGGGGCCGGGGGCCTTTGACGGAGGCTGAGAATCAAAAGGCGCCCAGGGGTGCCTCTCATCCGCCTTCCTCTTTCCGGTGTAGCTCAGCTCCTGGACTTGCCACAGACAGAAAGCATAACACACACTTGCTGGGGAGAGTCTTTGCCTGATCGGGGGCTGCTCAGAGCACAGGGTAAGTGCTTTTAGGTACTGCAGAGCCTGGAGGAGGAGGAAGGTGGGTGGGATGACGGGTTCCTGGCTCCCATCCATCCAACCGCTGCTGTAGGATAGTGAGCCCTTCTGTGCACCAGCTGCTGGGCTGGGAGGCACAGAGCACGCAGACCCGGCCAGATGTGCTGCCCATCAGCTCCTAAGCATAGCCCTGGCAGGGCCAGGCGCAGAGCCCAGGGCATGCCAGCCTGTCTAGGCTCTGCCCTCTATGCCACACTGCCCATTCCTTAGACCTTCGGCTGTGCTCTACCCCAGCACCAGCCCTGGGGAGGATTTTGAAGGTGGTGAAATCTCCCCTGGCTGGGCCCTTGGCCTTGATTTCAGGATGCTCTACCTGGTTTCACAGCCCCAGGCCTGCGGGCTGATTCCTCCTCAGCCTCGGAGGGGAAAAGCTCACCAACTCATTCCTGCTCAGCTATTACATTGTCTTCATAAAGACTCAGCCCCTCAGCTGCTTCTATAAAATGCAAACACTAATACATCTTCTGAAACTGGAATTGACCTCTGATCTCTCCAAGTGGCCTCTGGCTCAAAGAATTGACCTCCTCAGGATTTCCATTTAAAACAAACAAACAAAAAAAGATTACAGAGAGAAGGCTCAAAGCTAAGGAACAGCGAGATTCCAGGCATGGTGACCCTAGGATTGACAACCTTTAAGGTGATAGAAGAGGAAGCAGCCCTGTCTAGTTCAGCCTTATTTGAGAGTATTTAAGGGGTGGTGGCCCTTCTTATGTTCCTCCCAGCCATCCCATAAAGACCAGCCATGGCCCTATTCTTCAGAGAAGCACCGAATGTAACTTCTGAGGCTACACTCTCTGCAGCCAACTGCTTTAGAGGAACTGGCCTTTGGAGAGAAGAGGATGAGGGCAAAGATGGGAAACAGAGCTGTAGAGCGGTTTCAGATCCTTCCACAGGCTCCTGAGCTTTTCGATTTGATGGCCTCCTGCCTCTCCCACCCCCTCCACACACACACACACACACACACACACACACACACACACACACACACTCATAAGTACACACATACATCCTCACTCACACACACTCACACTCACCCACACGCTCTCTCCACAGCAGCGCTTTCTTCTCCTGAGCAGCTCTGACCTGGCCATGTTAGTTGACGGCAGCAGGAAGTGGTGGGCCCAGGCGAGCAGTGGGGAGGGGCTCCAGGCTCCTGTTGCAATCCTGGAGATTTGTGGTGACGTGGTTGACACTGTCTGACCTGGGGCTCTTGCTTCAAGCACTATTTCTGCTTCCTGGGACAATCCCAGGCCTGGATGCCAAACCCCTAGAACTCGCAGTGCCTGGGAGAAGTGACAGAGAAAGGGGTTTGTCTCCGCAGAACGACCTGTCTGGGGAGGGCGTTGACAGGGACCTGGGGAGTCGGGACAGGTAGAATGCCCTGCAGTGGGACAGGCCCCAGCTGTGGTCTGAGGGCCCAGTGGCTGTGCTTCTTTCTGGAGAAGTTACTTAACCTTTCTGTGCTTCACACTTCCCCTGCCCCCTTGCCTCTGGAATGGCCACATGGAGCCCTTCATGGGGTGGTCTTTGGCAGGGCTACTTGTCAGGCCACCAGTGTCCACCCCAGGTCAGGGGTGGAATCCTAGACCCCAGGATGTTCTTTTTCTGAGCAGAAGGTGGCCGGCCAGCTGGAAGCAAGAGATGCAGAGCACCGTCAATTACCTGTGGCACACGGATGACCTGCTGGGTCAGGGGGCCACTGCCAGTGTGTACAAGGCCCGAAACAAGGTAGGACGCAGCCCAGCCCACCCCGGCCCCCTCGCAGCCAGGAAGTCGGCCCCCAGTGGGCACGAAGGGTGGCGTGAGCTGGCTGGGCAGGGTTCTCTGACTCGGTTCTGCACCCTCTGAAGTGGAGCAGAGGCGTGGGGATCTGAAGAGGGCTCCTCGGGGTGAAGCTTCTGTCGGGCACGGTTGGGGGCTGGAGAGAAAGGGATGAAGACACGAGCCAACATCCAGGGGAGGTGGCAGCAAATCTAGGGACGGCAGAGGTGGGAAGTGGGACTCGTTTGGATTTATCCTGCCTTTATTCTGACGGAGAGCTGCACTGAATACGAGACGCACGGCACTATCTTGTACTTGAGAGCTGAAGCCAGACAGAACGTTGCTGCTAAGGCCAAGGAGTATTAGCTACCACCGTAGTTACTGCCAATAGCGACAGTAGCAGTAACAACAAACCATCCCCTGCAGGGTCCCAGGGGTGCCAAGCTCCTGTCATCTCCCAGTGCTGCGGGACAGGCTGTGCACCCTCTGAGGAGGGGAAGGAGCTGAGGGTGGGAGCCCCCAGCCCCAACCAGGCTGCCTTCGCTCACCCCTGGGGTTAGGCTGGCGGGAGAGGCTGAACGGAGGCCTGGGAGGGGGTGCGCTCCCAGGGCAGGGATGCCATTTATGTTATCCCCCATGGCAGAAATCCGGGGAGCTGGTTGCTGTGAAGGTCTTCAACACGGCCAGCTACCTGCGACCCCGCGAGGTGCAGGTGAGGGAGTTTGAGGTCCTGCGGAAGCTGAACCATCAGAACATCATCAAGCTCTTTGCGGTGGAGGAGACGGTGGGTCCAGTGCTTGGTCAGAGGAAGACGGTCTTGTCCTCGACTCTGACAGGCTGGGAAGGGTCAGGTCACATAATAATAGAGACTTGGGCACATGCTCATCTGCAGGTCGGCCAGAATGTTGGCCAGAGAGGGGTAAAGGGTGCCAGGGGCCTGGGGGCAAAGTAAGGATGGGGAGTGAGGCCTAATCAAAGAAGGCTTCCTGAAAAAGGTGACCTTGGGCTCAGTTTGAGGCCGAAGGAAGGAAGGCCAGCTGGAAGCGGAGACCTAGAGAAATGGGGGCTTTGGGCTCTAGGGTGAGCCACCCTGTCTTGAGGAAGGGGAGAAGAAGCGCCCTCCTCCCCAAGCCTCCCTCTGTCCCCTACAGGGGGGCAGCCGGCAGAAGGTGCTGGTGATGGAGTACTGCTCCAGCGGCAGCCTGCTGAGTGTGCTGGAGAGCCCTGAGAACGCCTTTGGGCTGCCCGAGGACGAGTTCCTGGTGGTGCTGCGCTGTGTGGGTAAGCCCCTCCCTGACTCCCACCAGGGACCCCCCTCCCCACCACAGGCCAGCCACAGACCCAGCCCTCAGCAGCAGGTGAAGTCCCAGAGGGGTATGGCATTTCTGGAACAAGTATCCAAACACAGTAGAACATTGGAAGCTAAGAGGCTCCCCATTCACAGACCTGGCACAGATGCTAATGAACAGACAGAACCCAAGTGTCTGATTCCTGCTAATCAGCAGTTTAAAACTCCAATTTCAGAATAAAATTTAAAAGAGGTTGTACACCAATGTTCATAACAGCATTATTCACAATAGCCATGAGGCAAAAACAACCCAAATGTCACAGACAGCTGAATGGATAAACAAAATATGGGATATACGTATGATGGGATACTAGTCAGCCTTAGAAAGGACACATGGATGAACCTGGAAGACATTGTGCTGAGTGAAAAAAGCCAGCCACACAAGGACAACTACTATATGAGTCCTTTTATGTGAGGGACCTAGAGAGGTCAGGTCCATAGAGATAGAAAGTAGAATGTGATTGCCAGAGGCTGGGGTGGGGGGATGGGGAGTGAGTGTTTAATAGGTAGAATTTCTGTCTGGGAAGTTGACAAAGTTCTGGAGGTGGATGGTGGTGATGGTAGCACAACAATGTCAGTGCATTTAATGCCCCTGATGTGTACACTTAAAAATGGTTAAAATGTAAAGTTTATGTTAGATATATTTTACCGCAATTAACAACAATAATAATAATTTTTAAAAAATGGTAGGGAGGAGAGTGCCCTCCTCTGGGAGACACAGCCACCATTCCTCTCAGTTTCTTAGGGAACCCCAATGGGACCTCGACACCCCACCTCCTTGGGACCCCCATCCTTTGCTCTGTGCCTGTCTCTGTTCTCCTGCTGCTCCTGTGGCCCCGGTGGCCCGTGAGTTGCCACTCTCTGTCTATGTGGATCCTTCCCCCGAGATGAGCCTTGACACTGGGCTGTCCCTGGCCAGAGCCACTAAGCAGCCTTCCCTCTGTCCCAGTGGCCGGCATGAACCACCTGCGGGAGAACGGCATCGTCCACCGAGACATCAAGCCCGGGAACATCATGCGCCTGGTCGGGGAGGAGGGGCAGAGCATCTACAAGCTGACGGACTTTGGGGCAGCCCGGGAGCTGGATGACGACGAGAAGTTCGTCTCGGTCTACGGCACCGAGGAGTACCTGGTGAGCGGGCATGGGGGACCCGCTGCCCGAGCGGAGGGCTTCCCCTGCAGCTGGCTGCCCCTCACCGTGTGACTCTCAGTGCCCCTCCAAGGGGCTCTGTCCAATCTCCCTGTGTCCAGCAGGGTTACCTCTCACCCCCTATCCCCAACCAGAACAATTTGTTCTGTTCTCTAAGGCCGAAAGGCAATGCTGCAGCCTGCCCAGGCCTCCCTGTTCAGTTGAGTCCTTGATAGGATACTCATGGAGGATGGAGCACTGGTGGTCACCTCTTCCCCCAGGGCAGAGGCTGGGGTTGGGGGGAAGGGGTGCTTTGGATAAGCACATGCCACACCCATTTCTGAGATGACAAAGGAGATGCATTCTGACGGTTCTGTTTCCTCCTGAAGGTGGGAGAAGGGGGTCTGAATGGGGTGTGCTCAGGCGCTTGCCCCCTTCCCCCTCCACGACAGCTCTCTGGTTCCCCCTCCTGCAGCACCCTGACATGTATGAGCGGGCGGTGCTTCACAAGCCCCAACAGAAAGCTTTTGGGGTCGCCGTGGATCTCTGGAGCATTGGGGTGACCCTGTACCATGCGGCCACTGGCAGCCTGCCCTTCGTCCCCTTTGGAGGGCCCCGACGCAACAAGGAGATCATGTACGGTGGGCCACCGGGCAGCGGGCGAAGGGGCGGACCCCGGGCCTTCCCTTCTAGTCCCTGCTGTGTCCCCTATTCTGCCTCTGACTCCACGGTCCTCCTGGTCTGCCCCCGACGCAGGCTCCTTTTGGATCCTTGGATATCAGTCCATCAAACAAGAGGCTGAGCCCTGTCCCTTCCTGACGGGAGAACTTAGTTCAGGGCTTCCCTTGAGCACCCCCCTCCATTTGTGGCTCACCACATCTCAACTGAGGCTCCCAGAGCGACTTGGCCAAGGTTGCAGAGCCTGCCAGGGGCAAAGGGGAAGGGCAAGGACCTAGCCTCCTGATCCCAAGTCCCGGCTCCCTCATGGTTTTCTGCTGTCTGATACAGAAGTAGCTGGAGACCCAGAGCAAAAGAGATTTAAAGTGGATTTGCAGGAAGGTCCATGCCCCTTCAGCTCAGGGGTCAAGCTGTGACTTGGATGGGGGCTGTCAGGGTAGCTGGACTTTGGAGGGAGGGGAGGTTGGAATAGTGAGGTGGAGGGGAGGCTACGGGGGCCGAGCGCAGTGCAGGCGCAGGTGTGGAGGCAGGTGGGCACGGATGTGTGGTGAGGGGGCAGAGGAAATGGACAGAGGAGAGCGTGGAGAACTTGACTGGGAGCATCAGGACTGCTAGCCAGACTCTCAGTTGCATTCTCAGGGTGCCTCGGGGCAGCTGGGTGACTTGCCCCAGTGCCCTGAGCCCTCCGGGCTGAGTCCATCACCCCTTGAAGTGTGATGGGCTGGAGGCTCCTGCTGCCTTGGTCCTGTTTCCCCCCAGGTACCGGATCACCACGGAGAAGCCAGCCGGGGCCATCGCAGGCACTCAGAGGCTGGAGAACGGGCCCCTGGAGTGGAGCTACACACTTCCCATCACCTGTCAGCTGTCCATGTGAGTGGGACCCTGCGGGAGGGGCAGACACAGACCCAAGTCTGGGCCGATGTCCTTCTCTCAGCTGAGGCCTGGCCCGGCGGAGCACCCTGTGTGCTGGCAGCTTGGGTACACCACTTTCCCTTTCTAGCCCCAGTTTCTCCATCTGGATGCTGGAAGACCCTTCCAGCTCTTCCTCTGCATCCCACCCCTTGGCCCTGGCCCTTCAGGACATTCTCATGGAAGGCCCCTATTACCTACTTGAGGAGGCCAACTCCGGGCCCCGGCCCCTGACAGTCTGCATGTCCCGGGGGGCAGGGGGCTGCAGAGCCAGCTGGTGCCCATCCTGGCCAACATCCTGGAGGTGGAGCAGGCCAAGTGCTGGGGCTTCGACCAGTTCTTTGCGGAGACCAGTGACATCCTGCAGCGAGTTGTCGTCCACGTCTTCTCCTTGCCGCAGGCCGTCGTGCACCATGTCTACATCCACGCGCACAACACGTGAGTGGGCGCGAGCGAGGGCGGCGCGAGCCTTGTCTCCCCAAGCACAGGGGCGTGTCCTGGGCAGCGCTCTGTGGGCAGTTTAGATTTGGAAGCTTCTGGGTCCAATCTTACTTTGGAAAAATACTAGTTCCACCAAGTTAACGTTAAACAGGCCTCCTTGCTGCTGGACTTGAGAGATTCGGCAAACTTTATAAAGCTGATGCATTATAGATCTCCTGAGGGGTGTGTGTGTGAGTGTGTGTGTGTGTGTGTGTGTGTGTGTGTGTGTGTGTGTGTGGCCGTGCATTTCCCCAGTGTATTACTCATGGAATCCTGTATTTCTGGAGCATGCTATGGGACTAGGTGAGTTTTAATGGAAGTGTGGCAGGAAGAGATGTGAAGGCTTCTTGAGTTCTATCCCCACTTTGTCTCCATCCACTATAAGACATGAGCTCTGTCCTTCATCTCCCCGCCCTAGAGAAAAAATCACACAGTCCCTCCCTCTGAAAAGCAGAACCCAAAGTCTTAGCTGGGCTTCGGGTCACCCTGATCCTGTATCCTGCCTGCTGACATGCCCTCCCCTCCCCCTCCCCTCTCTCTGCCTCTGGTGTGTCTAGGATAGCCATCTTTCTGGAGGCCGTGTACAAGCAGACCAACGTGGCCCCCCAGCACCAGGAGTACCTCTTTGAGGGTCACCTCTGTGTCCTCGAGCCCAGCGTCTCAGCACAGCACATCGCCCACACGACAGCAAGCAGCCCCCTGACCCTGTTCAGCATGGTCAGCGAGACCCCCAAGGGGCTGGCCTTCAGGGACCGTGAGTAGGGCCACCCAGGCTTTATCTTTTCTCCTCCTCACATTCTCTTCCAAGGGGCAGGGGTTTATAATCCAGGATACTGATTCATTTTCTTGTGGGTGTTTCTTTGGGTCCCCAGGGTGTAGAAGGCAGATCTGGGTTCTAATTCTGCATACGCCTCTGAAATGCCATGTGACTCGGGCTGGTGGCCTGCCCAACCTGCTTCGCAGCGTCCAAAGATCTGGGAAAGAAACTACAATGGAAACAGGGAGATGTGGATTCAATGTGGTCTCCACAGTCTGTGGTTGGTGGGGAAGCCTCCAATAGTTTGGTTTGGAGGAAGCAGGAGCCTAAGCTGCTGGAGAGAAGAGAAGGTGGTCAGGGGTCCGAGCTTTGTCCTCCACGTTCTAGCAAAAATATCACTCCTTCTCATTTGAATGATGCCTCCTCTTCAGGGTCTCCAAGGCTGGGAGGGGAATTGACCTTGAAACCCCGGAGTGTGAGGGGTGCTTTTAGCCTATTTTCTGCTGTTGAGATGGGGCCTTGGGCATGAGGCTGTAGTTCTCCAGAGTGGACACAAGGGGGCAGTGAGGGACTGCAATTGTAAAGAAGCACATTGAGTGCCTTTAAGGCTTAGAAGGTCGGGGCTCTAGGTGAGTTGGAAAGCTTGAGGTGGCAGATAGGTGGCGAGGGCTGAGTGTAAGCTGGAAATAAGGAATGATGAGCTCAGACCTCATCCGGGGCCGGACAGGCAGCCCCCTCAGACCAGGTCTTTATCTGCAGCTGCTCTGGACATCCCCAAGTTTGTCCCCAAAGTGGACCTGCAGTCAGATTACAACACGGCCAAGGTGAGGGGTTGCCCCCAGGTGGCAGGGAGGGGGTAGTTCATGCAGGGGTTCGGGGTACGGGACCTGACCCTGCCCACCTCTGTGTTTCAGGGTGTGTTGGGTGCCGGCTACCAGGCCCTGCGGCTGGCACAGGCCTTGCTGACAGGACAGGAGCTGATGCTTCGGGGACTGCACTGGTTCGTGTGAGTACCCCCAAGGGCTGGGTGGGGAGGGCAAGGAGGGTGGGCAGGGTAGGACAGGCAGCCCAGACCCCTTCCAACACCGCCCTGGGGCTGTGCCTGTGGGCACAGTGCCCTCAGTCCCCTGGGAGAAAGCAGCTCTGACTCAGGCTCCCCTTGGCAGGGAGGTACTCCAGGCCACGTGTAGGCGGACGCTGGAGGTCACGAGGATGGCCCTCCTCTTCCTCAGCAGCAGCCTCGGCACTGAGAGGTAGGTGTTCCGTCCAGGGTGGGGGCTGCGGCCGGCATGAGCCCCGCTCAGACCCATCAGCCCTTCTCTCTGTCTGTTCCTCACCCCAATCTTTCCAACAATGCCCCTTGTCCCCTCCCACCCAGAGCTCCCGACTTCCCTGCCATGCTAGAACGGAGAGGGCGCTCCCGCCCCATCCCTGCCCCCACCAGCCAGTCCCTCACCTCAGGGGGCCGGACCTGTGAGGGCACTGCCCCGCCAGGTACCGAGGCAGCCTCCCTGCCCCAGGAAGGGGCCTCTGTCCTACCAGTCCCCCCTCTGAAGATTTAAACTGCTCACCTGCACCAGGCCCTGGAGAGGGCTCTGGGAGAAGCACTCACACTCACACACGGTCCCCTGGACTTGACAGGATGGAGACCTAGGCGGTCTCATCCTCCACACACCTCCTCCTGCTTCCTCTGGGCCTGAAACTGTCCCCGCCTCCCGGGATCCCCTTCCCCAGTCCTTGGAAATCCACACCCTCCACTCCTCTGACTTGGGCTAATTAGGCGTGGTGGGTTACAGAAAGGGAGAGACTGGGGAGGAGGACATCAAGCTGGAGGGTCTGGAGATAAGCAGGAAGACTCCACCGGCCAGCGCGCTGCTGAGAAGGCGGCAGGGGCTACGGTACAGGTGAGAGGTGGGAGCCCTGTGGCCCAGGGAAGCTGATGGTGGCTGGAGCCTCTCCCGGTGACAGGTGGTGGCAGAAGAGCAGAGACTGTGCCAAACAGGCCCGGTGTCCTACCTGTCACGTCCCACAGCCCTTGTCCTCAGGAAGGTCCTGGGAGTTTCCCAGGAGCAGGGTGACTCACTGCAGACTTGCCCTCCACCTGGCGCTCGGCAGCAGCGACACTGACCGTGGGGTAGACAGGGTGGTGGCCAGGCAGGGAGGAGAGTCTCCAGATGAGCCCCCGGCATGGCTGAGCCACCTTCAAGTGGGGACAGAGAAGAGGGGCTGCAGAGGGCAGGATCCGCCAGCAGCGCTGTGGTGGAGTCCCTCTGAGAAGACATCTGCCCAGGCACAGAGTGGGCTTCCAGGGCTGGATGTGGCCCCAGGCCTGCAGACGGCCCTGGAGGACAGCCCTTCCCCAGCATGTGCGCATGGCAGGACGGTTGGGTAAAGGGAGACGAGAGATGGGCAGACGCAGCCAGGAAGACCCGGAAGAAGGGAGGCTGTCAAGGCCAGAATGTGAGCAAATACCTGGGGTGGGAAGGCCCTATGCAGAGACGTGACTGGAGGGGTGGGGAGGTGCTGCTGAGGTTTGCTGAAGCCACAGTCATAGTGGAGAATGTCCCAGAGTGGAACTGGAGAGGGACAGAGGGAAGGGGAGAGTGCAGGCAGGTCCTAGGGTCCAGAGGAGAGGTTGGACCTTGCTAACATGACCAACAAGGATCTATTCTAGGTTCTTGAGTGAGAAAGAAATATATAGAGAGAGCATCTGGTTGTTTGCCCACCCTCCCTGGGCTGACGAGTGTGGAGAGCGACAGGCTAGCCCCAGGGCTGGAGTCCTGGGGTCTGCTGGCCGCTGTGTCTCCAGTTCTGGCTCCAAGGCCTCCTCCGAGGCGTGGTGGGTGTGGAGAGCTCAGGGTCAGGCTAGTGCCTGCTTTGAGGCCTGTTTCATTCTCCCACGAGGAAGAGCGCTGGGCCGAGGGTCAGAAGGCCCGGCCCAAGCTCTTCATTAACTCACTGTTAGCCTCAGACCATTGTCGCCTTTCCTACCTGGGCCTCTATTTTCTCATTTTCAAAATGAGGGGACTGGATGACCTCGGAGGCCTCCCAGCTCCCATGCGTCACAATCTCATTCTTTTCTGAACATGCTCAGACCTGTCGGTTCTTCTAAGGTCCGAAGCCACTAGCTCCTCCCACAGCGGAACCTGAATTTTTTTTTTTTTTTTTTTTTTTTTTTGGTGGTACGCCGTCCTCTCACTGTTGTGGCCTCTCCCATTGCGGAGCGCAGGCTCAGCGGCCATGGCTCACGGGCCCAGCCGCTCCGCGGCATGTGGGAACTTCCCGGACCGGGGCACAAACCCGTGTCCCCTGCATCGGCAGGCGGACTCTCAACCACTGCGCCACCAGGGAAGCCCTACTTGCTGTTTTATAACCTGCTTTTCTCAGCTTATGATCTCTGCCCCCTCTGTGTCAAAACATTCCATCTCCTCTGTAGTACCCATCCATACTCAAATTTGGTAAGCCCCCAAGTGTTCTTTTCTAGCTGTTTTCATCCCAACCAGGATCCAATCCAAGACACACTTGGTGTCTGGTTGTCCTGTTCCTCACGTCGATTTTAACCCTTCCCTCGAGGTTCAGCAACGTGGCTGGGGTGCCTGAGATCCAGGAACTGAAGAGGGCCGCAGAGCTGAGGTCCAAGCTGCGGACCGTGAGTGAGGCTGGGGTTGGTGAGGGGCTGTCAGGCGTAGAGTGGGGTGTGGGGAGGCTTCCCATCGGAGCCTCCAGCTGAGGCCCCCACGGGGGTCTACCTTTGTGTCCCGCAGTTGGCTGAGGTCCTCTCCAGATGTTCCCATAACATCACAGAGACCAAGATGACCCTGAGCAACCTGAGCTCTGAGCTGATGAAGAACCGGGATCAGGTACATGCGGACAGAAGGTCTGTGAGATTTTCTTCTTGGTGGGGGGGTTTGGGGGTGCACAGAAGGCCCAGTAGCCTCTTTAGGAGTCAGCCTGCCTTCTCCCTTATCTTGGCAAGGATGCTGGGGCCTGGGGCTAGGGGTAGGGGATCCAGGAATGTACAAGACCCTTCCATGAGACTGGCCAGAAGGAGAAAAAGATCTGGGGTCCCGCCTCCACCTGGGAGTTAGAGAGTGAATTACAAATATTAGCAGGTGCAATAGTTCTAAATAAAAGAATAATTGAGTTCCCTACCTCTTCTGAACGCTTGCTCTGCGTCAGACCCTCGAATAGGTCCTCCTACTTCTATCATTTAATCCTCAAAACAATAACGATACTACTACTCTTATGCTCCTTTTATAGGTGAGGAAGCTCACTCAGGGAGCTTAGTTTGCCCCAAGACACAAGGCAATAAATGACAAATGCCAGACGTAAGGCTCCAGGTCAGGTCTGCCTACCTCCAAAGCCTACGTGCTTGGCCTGCGCCAGGGATTTTCGAGATCTGAATCCCCAGTCTCCCTTTAAACAGACAGAAAAATCCCCAGCACCCCTGCCCTCACAGCCCGGTGTGTGGAGCCCCTGCCTCCCGCTCTGCTCTGACCTGGACGTGGTCCGGCTCCTGGAACAGCCCCACACCCCCCGCAGTCAGCGCCCTGGCAGATCTGCACGCCCGGTCCTCAGTTCTGAATTCAGAAAGCTCTGAAAACCACAGGGTGTTTCTTCGCTGTTTTGGCTGTAAAACCTGACCTCAACTGCCACGAAGCCCTTCCTAGTCTTTATTTATCTCACTTAGGGTGAATATTCTGTCAGCTCTCTGAAGACTGAGGGTATGTGATGAGGGAGTACTGCCCCAGACCATGCCCTCCGAGGGAATTCCACAGTATAGTGTATGTATACTGGACCACCTTTCTCAAATCAGAAGATAGTTCTGAATTTGGAATACATCTGGCTCAAGCCCTTTGGATAAAGACTGGACCTGGGGTCTTGTCCACCCCAGGCTCCAGGAGGGCAGGAGTCTGGGGTCCGCAGGGTCCTGGGAACACGCTTGGGCTGTGCCCCAAGTCCAGCTTCAGAACTAGCTGAGACAGGGTCCTGGGAGGAGCTGCAGGGAAGAAGTGGAGCTAAATAGGCCCGAGGATGAGGGATAACCCCCCACCCACAAACACTCCCAACATCTCAGACAAAGTGTTTGTATCCTGAAAAGGGGAAGGAAGAAACAATAATGACCTTAAACCCCAGGCCAAGAGGGTGGAGAGGTCATGTCCCGAATTCCCCTGCCTGCAGGCAGGACCAAAGACCTTGATTCATTCCTGTTTTAAACAAGGGTTGTTGATTCATGATTGAAGTCCCTTCTATGTACCAGGCATTGGGTATTCTCAGAAAGCACGACTTCTGCCCTTGCCAGGTGACAGAAGAGAAGTTCCTATTCTGCTCCCACACGCAGCTGCCACCGCCAGGCTCTCCTGTTTCAGGGTCCAAGGCTCCTTCCCGGAGCCTGTTCTCAAGCCCTGTTGTGTAGCAAAGGCCACTTTCCTGTCGCCTGTCCTGCTTGGCTTCTTCCTGTGTGTGTGTGTGTGTGTGTGTGTGTGTGTGTGAAAGCGAGAAAGAATAAACACAGGAATGAGAGGTGACTGGATGGCTAACCCGAGGGTACCTCAAACAAGTTTAGAAACAGAAGAGTCACTCCCAGATTGGCCCCCAAAACTATGGCAGTGAGGCTCCTATTGCAGGGAGACAGCTTCCCTCCTCCCACCGCCATCCCTTCCCCTCCCTCACCCTTTACCTGTGCTGTTTGATTCTTCCATCACCTGGTCCCTGTCTCGTGCCCACAGCATCCAGCAGATTCAGTGCTGTTTGGACAAGATGTATCTCATTTACAAACAGTTCAAGAAATCCAGGATGAGGCCAGGTGAGCCACAGGGAGAGCAAAACACTCCTCATGCTCTCCCCTCCCTCCCCCCTTCCTTCCCTTGGGTTAGCTGGTTGTCCCTAACACTCCATCCAGTGGCGCTGCTGGAGGCCCACTACGCGGGTGGCACTCCGTGGTGCCCGGGTGCCGCTGGTCTAGGGCAAGGCCGCTGCCTGCACCCCAGTGAGGGACATGAAGCCTTTCCACCTTTGCCTGTTGCCACATCGGGGCTCAGCTGAGGCCTGGATGCTATAGACGTGGTGGCCTTGAAAGAGACCCCTCACCTTTGCAGGGCACTTTACAGTTTAAGGAGTGTTTCCCTATCCGTTGTGACTTCGGCTCACTGAAGTGTTAGTCAGGCTTTCCAGAAAAGGGAGGATCGGGAGAAATACCATGGAGTCATGAGTCCAGGCACTTGGCCTGCATTATCTACGGAGCCTCACTAAGACCTTCTGGGCAGGGGCAGCTCATTTACAGGCCCAGGGATGGGAAGCTTCTCGCCCATCATGGGCTAGGGGAGGGTCGAACCCAGGGCTGGGGCTGATGGCAGCGGGGGTTGTGAGGGGAGCCTGGGGAGGCTCCAGGTGACTCTCGGGGTTGGGGAGCTAACACTCCAGGAACCGACCACCGACACTCTCGCCCACCCATGCCCCCCAGCATTTCCTAATGTGCAGGAAATCCATACTTGAGGGCTTGCGCCTGACTGCAAATTCTCTTCTGTCCCTAGGATTATCTAAAAAGCCCTGTCCCATAGGAATACAATGCCAGGCACATTTGTAATTTTAAGTTTGCTAGTAGCCAAAATTTAAAAAGTAGAAAGAAACAGGTGAAATTTATTTGAATAACATATTTGATACAATGCAATATATTCAAGTTGTCATTTCAGCGTGTAATCAATAGAAACAATTATTAAAGAGATACTTTACATTCTCTTTGGTGCTAAGTCTTCACAATCCCACGTGTGTTTTACACTCATTGGCCATCTCTATTTGGAAGCTCATTTTTTAACAAAATGAAATGTACTCTTACCAAAATAATAAAGCTGTGTTTGATGGGGAAGAAACATTGTACACTGCTTCAGTTTTTAAATTTAGTCGAATTCATTCAATTAAAATTAAAAATTCAGGTGAGCAGTCACATTAGCCGTACTGGCCACATTGCAAGTTCTCAGCCGCCACACGACCACCGCATTGGACGTGCAGATTCTAGAAGATGGGAAACTCAGTCCCGCCTCTGGATCTGACCTTGGAGGGGGAGCATCACAGGAGACAGGAGAACTGAGACTCCCATGTTCCCTGAAACCAGGGGGACCTTGGGCTCAAGAAGCTGGCCTAACACCCAGTTGGCCACCTTTGCTGTGATTTTAGGAGACCTTCAGAGGCTCTTCTGCCTGCGTCACTGGGATTCCGTCATCCTGTGACCATGACACTTCTGAGCGCCTCCCATGTGCTGTGCACAGTCCGATGGGCTTTGCATGTTCTTAATTTATTTAATGCTCTAGACACTGTTACCCTCCCCGTTTTATAGATGAGGAAACTGAGACACAGGAAGGTTAAGTAACCCAAGCAACCTAGGTCCAGGTGCTTTAAACCACCCCACTTTACAGCCTCAAAAAGAGTTTGATTTGTACTGGTTTGCAAGAGTCCTTTATTAAAGTTAAAAATGAACCGGGAAGAATAACACTTAACCGCCAACACTTGGGGTGTGGAAAGATGCCATTCTGGAAAATGCTCCATCGTTTTCAGGGCACTTTCTCACTTTACCCTCACACCCATCCTGTGTGTTACATGTGATGAATGAGGCAAAAATCACTTGCCTATAGCCTCCCGCTAAGAGGAGGCAGAGCTGGGCCTCATCCCAGATCAGTCGCTTGGACTTCATAAGTCAGCTGGCTGAGCGCAGGGCCCAGGACCAAGAGGCCAGGGAGGTGATTCTGCTATTAGGGGAGTGGTGGGGGCAGGCAGCAAGGTGAATCTCCTCATCGCTTCATCTTGGCCTTCAGAGGCCATTCCCCTGAAGCCCAGGAGGGGGCAGCATCTCCCTAGCGCAGAGAGCATCAGGAAGCTGCCAAGGTAGTGAAAACTTCAGCCCTACTGGCAAAAGTTCTCCTTCTGGCAGAAGTGGCTGGGCTGAAAAGCGGAGGTCGAGGGTGGTGGCCTGGCTTATCCAGCGCATTGCTGCAGAGCCCAGGTGGCTCTGCCTGCAGCCTGAGTATTCAGGGATGGGGTCAATAGGCTGTAGGCATCAGCCACGCTGGGAAGGGGATTGGATGAGGGGTCAGGGCTGACCACACATCCTTCAAGCCCCGTCTCATCCACCACTGTCCACCTGAAGTGTTCCCCGAGCACCATCCCTCCACTCCCTACCTCCACTCCCTCCACTGCGGGCTTGCCTGGCCCAGGTGGACCCCTACCTGGTCATAATGCAGTGTCTTGGGTGCTTGTTTCCCTCCGTTTGTCCTTCCTGGTTCCGCTGGGCTGTGAGCTCCGTGGAGCAGAGCCCAGGCTGCTGCCTTCGCTTTGCAGTTGTTGCCAACCCTTGCGCCATTCGGTTCTGTTGACTGCTTGAATAGGTGACCTTGGCCCTGTCTGTTTCCTTCAGGGCTTGGCTACAACGAGGAGCAGATTCACAAGCTGGATAAGTGAGTGCCTGTCCCCCTGGCAGGCGGGTGAGCAGGAGGGTGGGCATCACCAGGGCAGAGCGAGTCTTTGTGCCAGACAAGAGGTGGTAAAGGGCCCTGAGCCCAGGCCACAGCTGGGCAGGAGGAAAGGGGCTGACTGCCTCTGGGGAAGGTTGTCTGGGGCCAGGGGAGGGTGGTTTCTCAGCAGCAGTCGTGATGGAACTGGACTGACTTCTGCTATGAACACGATTGTTTGAAGGATTTCCTTCCTTAGGTGTCCTCGCTGACTTACCACCTACTACTTTCTACTTCTGGCCTCTGCCTGGACTCTCCTTTGGGCTTCCCTCTGCTTCTCTGTCTCCTGGACACTCTATTCTTCCAGGAAGTCCTCCATGATTTTATGCTTTTTTGGGGACTCACTCCCCCAGTTCTGCCCCCACCCCTGACTCCACACACACACACACACACACACACACATACACACACACACACGACCATCTCTCCTTTCCTCTGGGGGCTGAGCTCAAGAGCGTGTGTGTTCCCAGAGGTCCACTGTCCTTCTCCCACATCCCTCTGTTGGAGTTGCTTTGTGCCAGCCACTCTGCTCGCCATGATGCACATTAAGTGGGATGGGCGCCTTGGGAGAGGCGGCCCTGCTGTGGAGCCAGGGGCTGGACATTTGGGTGATGAAGACCCAGGGATGCTAGGTTTGTGCTCAGGTGGCTCTGGCTTCTCATCTCTGTGCCTCTGTTTCTGTCTTTTCAGGGTGAATTTTAGTCATTTAGCCAAAAGGCTCCTGCAGGTGTTCCAGGAGGAGCGTGTGCAGAAGTACCAGGCATCCCTGGTCACGCATGGCAAGAGAATGAGGTAACATTGGCCCTCACTCTTGAACTCATGGTCCCCAGGGCCCTCCTGGCCTGGCCCTTCCTGGCTCCAGACAGCCCTGGGCTTTGCAGAGCCCCGACTGAGAGGGAGGTGGTAGTAAAGAACAAAAGCGAAAAAAAAAAAAGGGGGGGGTGGTTTTTTGGCCCCGGGTGGACCAGGTAGGATGCTGGGTGATTTCTATACATTAACTCATTTAATCCCGCAATGTCTACCCTATGCAGTGGATACTATCACCCCATTTCACAGATGAGGAAACTGAGGCCCAGAGAACAGGTTGCTTCCTTAATACGACACCGCTAGTAAATAGCAGACCCAGGACTGGCACATGGGTATGACTGCCTCTAAAATCTAGATTCTTTCCATGTCCCAGGTGGTTGTGTTCAGAAGCCCCCTCTCTGGGGAAAACACAAGATCCCTCTGGGATGAGGACAAGTGGCCTGGGAAGCAGGGGCAGGCAGAGGCCCTTATGTAGAACCCCCCTTGCACACTGTCCCTTATAGGAGTTTTGGCTTCTGCCTCTCAGACAAGCGCCTTCCCCCTTCCCCTCCTGAGACAAGAGGACAGTTTCCCAGGTGCTGCTGGTTCTGTGGCCCACGTGACCTGTGGGCTTATTATGGGGCTGAAACTCAGACACTCACCTACCCTTACATTAAAATACCGTTTCCATCTCCCCCAGCCAAGCCACCCCAAATTCTGACTTAATTGGTCTGGAGTAAGGCTTGGATGGCAGTATTTAAATGCTCCTTGTGTGATTCTAATGTGTAATCAGAGTTGAGGATCGACCACTGGTCGAACCCCTCCAGGACTTGGTGTATGTTTTGTGCCGTGGGGCAGTGTTCTTCCTCTCTCCCTCCACTTAGAGAGAGAAGAGAATTCATAACAGAGTCTTCACTTTGATCTGCTCTGGAAATGGGAACGTGGGCAGTTCCCGTTTTAAGTGTGCCAGTGCAGGCGGTCCCTGCCTCTCCAGAGCCTGAGCCGGGCCCTTGCTCACCCTCGCTGGCTTGTGTGGCCCGGCCTGACACAGGTGTATTCGCAGCTCCCACTGTGGTTCCGCCAGGACCCTCACTAGCCCCGGTCAGAGTGCTCATCAGCATCCTTACCTGGGACAGGTGAGGGCTGAGGGCACAGCTGGAAGGGCAGAGGCAGCGAGGGAGGCCAGTGCCTGGCACCCACCAGCTCCAGCCTCTGCCGCCTGGAAAACCTCTCCTCCGTGTCTGTGTGGTGACCGAACTGCTGGGGGGGCCCCGGTGAGAGTGAGTAGGCCAGGCTCTGACATTTCTCTGCTCTCTTGAGGGTGGTGCATGAGACCAGGAACCACCTGCGCCTGGTGGGCTGCTCCGTGGCCGCCTGTAACACAGAAGCCCAGGGAGCCCAGGAGAGCCTCAGCAAGGTGGGGAGCTTCGGGGCCCCGGGGCTGCTGAGGAGAACTGGACCAGTCGGGCACCTGGAGGGCATCCAGGCCATTCCCCTGCCTCGGGGCAGAGCTGCCCTTGACCAAGTCCAAACACTCTGGTGTGGATGGGAGGTCTCTGATCCACCAGTGTGGACGGCAGTTCCTAGTGTTCTCAGACTGAAGGCCACTCGCTGCAAGGGCAGAGGCTCCAAAATGCTGAGACATCTCCCTCTCTGCCCTGTGCAGCCTGGGAGGCTCACTGAGGGGGGCGATATGAACGCTCCTTGTCTTCTGATCCGCTCTCCTAGAAGAGACCAACTCAGGCCGCTCTGAGAAGCCACTTGCTTTGCCATCAGGGACAGAGAAGGGCTGTTCTTCAAGGAGCAAGGCCCACATGCTCTTCCCCAGCCCCTAGCACAGGGCACATTCTTTCCGAGATGGTGCTGGGCTGCCCCCACCCCTTCTCTGCAGCTCCTGGCTCCAACTGTGTCATGACAGGTGCAGGTCAGACACAAACAGGAGCTTGGCAGTCTGCACCCCTAAACACAAGCGCACACAGTGATGGTGCTTGTGCCAGCTGTGCTCCCAGGATGAGAAGGAGGGGCTTGTGGGAAATTCCTGACACTCCAGGGATGCGGGCTGGGGGCCATTGTATCACGGATTTCTTACCCCTCCCCACACCTCCGCTGCCCTCCACACATGAGCTGGCTTATCCTTTCTGACTAACGTGTGGTTCTTTCAGATCCTTGACTGGCTATCTCACCAGCTCCTGCAGGACAGAACAAAGGGGGCTCAGGCCTCACCACCCACTACAGCTCCTTATCCTAGCCCTGCACTAAAGGACCTGGTTCTCCAGTAAGTGCCAGAGAGAGGGGTGTGTGCTTGTGTGTGTGTGTGTGTGTGTGTGTGTGTGTGTGTTAGGGGCTTCGCCTCTTGCCAGGCCCGGGAGGCAGGAATGAAGCTCGGTGGGGCTGTAGAGGAAGGGGGGCCTCCCTGGAAGGTGTCTGGGCAGAGCGACTTGGGCCTTAGCCACCGCCGCCTCTCTTGCCTCTGCCTTGGACAGCATGCAAGAGCTCTGCAAGGAGATGAAGGTGCTGGCGTCTGACCTCCAGGACAACAACCGCGTCATCGAAGGGTGAGACCCCGCTGTGCGGGCAGTGGGGAGGCTGGGCCCTCAGACTGCCCTCGCCCCTGGGGCACAGGCCCCGTGCATCCCCGAGCAGGCTTGATGACAGGGGCCCATATTCCAGTCACAGCAGAGCCTTGTGCACAGGTGAGTCGGTGTCCTCACCAGGTGTAGGCTTTCACCGTAGTCTGGAGGATTTGCGCCTCGGTGCAGTCAGAGATGGGGGCTGGGAGGCACGTGGATTTGCGGCTGTGTCCAGCTCTCTGTGAACATGGACTCTGCCTCACGCCCCATGCAAACCGGCTCCTGTCACCTTTACGACCATCCTCAGAATGGTGATGAACCAGGAAACGCAGCACAGAGCTGGGGAGAACTGCGCGGGGCTGCAGGCCCAGTGTTAGAGACTCTGCATCATCACCTGATCGAGTCCCTTCCTTGAGGGGCAGCGGGGAGTGGGCAGGTACTGGGGAAGATGCTGGCGGATGCAGCAGGGCTCAGCCTTTTGGCTTTTGTACACCAGTAAAATTCACAAAAGAAAACTGGAAAATAACAGAGTGACCAACTTCTCATATTACCCAGTAAGCAGAATTGAAAGGGAAAAATCCATGCCATCTAGAAGTCCCCCTTTATAAGGTGCATTTTAACACCAAAGAGAAGGAAGAATACAATCTCAGAATCAAGGATGGTCCTCGCCCTGAAAGTCAGCCCTGTTTACACATATATACGCTCACGCATGCGTGCACGCACCTCCCACGTCCTCCCCATCATCCTTATGTCTGTCACTTCCCCGTTTGGGAACCAGTGGCACGGTGGAAAGAGTCTGCAGAGATTCCAACGGGGTTTGACCCTGACTCTGCTTCTTACAAACTGTGTGACCCTGGGAGGTTTGTTTGGCTCTGAGCTGAAAAATAGGCATAGTGATTCCTACCTCATTGTGTTAATGCAGGGATTAAACAGGATGAGATATGCAATGTGCTGGGGTGGGGAGGGTGCCCAGAAGGGGGACTCACCAAATGGTAGGTGTTCCCCAGAGGTCACGCCAGTCTGGGGTGCCAGAATTGGGGCCAGGAGGTAGGGAAGCCAGGAGCAGAGCTCATGGTTGTTCTTGGAGTTTCAGAGGGTCCTTGGGTTGAGGACATCCCACGTTCCATTCCAGCAAGGGGAGAACCCATCCTCTTAAATGTCTGCAAAGAGGAAATTTGACAGCTTCTTAGAAAAACTTTCCAAATTAGCCCTCAGGGGCAGGAAGTTATAATTTTAGTGCTGACATAAATTTCTCTCGCTGTGATATGTAGTCTATTTACAGATAGCTCAAAATTTTATTTTAGTGAATTTTTGCTTCCTTGTTCAGAGCTGTAACCAAAGAGCCTAAAGAAACAATCTGAATTCCTTTTCCCCTCCTCTTAACCCTTGGCTGCATTGGAGTCACCAAGGGAGCTTTTAAAAGTACAGATGCCTAGGTCTTGTCCCCAGAGACTCTAGGTGCGGCTTGGATTTGGGGATTTTTATAAGCTTTCCAGATGATTCTAACGTGTAGTCAGGGATGGGAACCAGAGAGTTCCTGTCGGTGGACACAGATGCTACAAGAGGAGAGCTGAGGATTCGAATGGCTTGGTGTTCTGGAAGTTGATTGTGTTGGGCCCTGGAGTATGGTCGGCAGGCTTCTCTACCTGGGCGGAAGTTAACCTGAGCCTCTCTTTACAGGTTAAGTAGGGTCCCATCGGCTCCTGACATCTGAACTCTGGGGGGTGCACGAGGAATCCTGAAGCATTAGAATCGTTCAGACACTGCTCTCCTGCCTGCACTGGGGGACCCAACACAGGACGATACCTGGTCACATCTCATCAGCCTACCTCTCTCCTGCCTGACGGCCAGGAGGTTTTGCCAGCATTACCTTCCACTGCCTGTCTTCGGGAAGCAGCACAGCAGGACGTGGGGCACCAGGCCATCTCTGGATCCTGGCCCCACTGCCCAGGCTGACCTTTGAATCTTACGTGGAATCAGGTACAGCTCCTCTGTTGCCCTGGCCTGTATAGCTGAACCTGGCCGGGCTGTGGGGAGAAGAGGCTCCGAAAGCCGCTCCCTCCCACCCCCTCTGGTTTACGGGGCTTTACTCCTCAGGGAACAGAAGAGGAGGCCTCCTGGGGTCAAACGACCTCATCTCAGTCTTCCTTCCTCTTAAGGTGTTCTACACTGAACACACAGCCCTCTCCCTGCTCCCACGATATCTGAGGGTTACCACACGTGGCCCCAGGCATGACAGAGCCCAAGTTCCCTTCTCCTCTGGTCTGGCTGAGCCTAAGGCTGAGAAAGCACGTGGTCGAGGCCGGATGCCAGTGTCTCGGGGACCCTTTCCCCTGTCCCTCTGAGGCACCACCGGGTTCTGGGGTTTGTAGCCAGCAGTGTCAACAGTAGCCGTGCCAGTTAGCACAGGCCCGTAAGTCCAGAGCCCTGAGGAAATCAAGGCCCGCATCTTCAAGAAGTGAAATAAACTTGACATTCCTTTCTGTTTGAGTGGCTCTCACGGGCTGCATCTGGGAGGTGGGAAGGCTCAGCTGGGTGTGCTTGGCAACCAATCAGGCACTGCACAGGGTGGGGATCTGTGAGGGGGAGGATTGGGAAATGGGGGCAGGACTGCTCGCTTCCTGATTCCTGCCTTCCTGCCTCCCCCTAGATGGGCCCTGATTTCAGAGAGGAGCCCAGGGACCATGCCCTCCTGCTGGGAGGGCTTGCCTTCCCACTCCTCTTTTTCTGCTCCCTGTCATCTGGGGAGCTCTGTGAGGGCCTGGAACTTACAGAGAAGGGTCTTTTTTTTTTTTTTTTTTTTTGTGGTACGCGGGCCTCTCACTGCTGTGGCCTCTCCCGTTGCGGAGCACAGGCTCCGGACGCGCAGGCTCAGCGGCCATGGCTCATGGGCCCAGCTGCTCCGCGGTATGTGGGATCTTCCCAGACAGTGTTCCCTGCATCGGCAGGCGGACTCTCAACCACTGCGCCACCAGGGAAGCCCCGGGTCTTTTTTTTTTAACCTCAAATCCACCATCTAAATGCCTGTTCCTTTCCCCCCACCCCCCCCGCTCCACTGTTCAAAACACAGGCTGTGTCCTTAAATATCAGGTGAGAGTAGTACTATGGGCTGTTCTGAGCAGTCCTCATTTTTCCTAGAAGCTAGAATAATGCCGGGGTGAGGCATGCAGATCTGTGCAGATTTAGTCTTTCCCCTGCAATATATCCAGCTTTCCCTTAACCAGGGCTGGACTACCCACCTAGCCTAGGGATGGGGAAAGGGTGATGCAGTGAAGTAGCCCCACCACAGGAGGGAAAAGAGTGAGAAGCCCTACTCTGTGCTTTGAAACATGAAGACACTATGCTTTACCCCCAGCTAACCCTAGAAATCCTCCCTGACAATGTTTTTGGAGCCTCCACATCCTCAGAGGCTGTTCCAATGGCCCAGCAGGGCGGAGGTGAGGAAGGCTGGGTCCTGGAGTCTGACATCCTCAGGGCTGCTTCTCTGTGGAGAGATCAGCACCCTCTAGAGACCCGGGGGAGGGTCGCTGGGTTTGCTTGCATCAGGCCTAAGTGGCTTCATGTGTGCCACTTAAGCCCAGTGGGTTCCGGTTCTGGGTTCTCAGGAGCCAGCTGTGGCTCCAATGGCCCTGGACACTGGGCCACCTCTGGGCGGCTCCGCCTGCGTTAAGTTCAGGCTGACACTCACGGCTCTTCGATGGCCCTGCAGGGAAGTCCCACAGTGGACTTCCCCTGGCAGCTAGGCTGCTTCTGGACCCCACATGCTTGGTGGAGCTCAGCAAAGGAGCCAGGGGATCCCTGAAGTCCAAGTGCAGATTGGCTCTATGATCTCACGAGCAAAGCCCAGCAGGGGACATACTTGAAAGCTTCAATTTGTTCCTATGCTGCAGAGCCACTGACATGGGTGACCCCACCCCCCCCAATAGTTCTGCAGAGCTTCTGATGCCATCTCAGTAGGGAGCAAGGAACTGGACCAAGGCCCATGAGCTTGTCCAGTTCCTCCAGAACCTTGTAAGGTCCTCACGTGTCTGACGACCTCTGTTCTCTGTAGTGATTCCTAACATGACACTTAAAATGAAGAGCCCGTTCAGCTGCTCAGATGTGAACCGGGCACCTGCAGTGTGCCAGGGCCCGGGCGAGGGGCTAGAACTACGTGGGTGACTAGGGTGCCATGCCTGCCGCGGAGGAGCTTACCTCGATGGGGAAAGGCCCTTCAGTATCATCGGAGCGTTCAGAGATAGGAATGCACAGCTCAGGTGTGGGACTGCGTCACCACCCTCACAGGGGAGGGTGCTCAGGGCGCCGGGAGGGGGTCAGGGGAGGACTTGGGGAGCAGGCTACTCCAGAGTGGGGTCTTGGCAGATAAGCAGGGTTACCTAGCAGAGAAGGTACGGAAGGCACCCCTGGCAGTGGGAACACCACCAGCCCAGGCATGGAAAGAACCACAAGCGTGTGTGTCACTGGAGAACAGGTTGAAGTGGGAAGCGGTCGTTGGGAAAAGGGAGGGGCCAGATCCAAGAGCTCCTTGTGGGCCACACGCAGGAACCTGGGCGTTACCTCAGGGAATCACAGAAACGGGTTTTAGGTGAAGTCCAACTGGTATTTTAAAGATAGAACTCTTGGGTGCCCGTGTGGAGGGTGGATTGAAACCCCATGCCTCAGGTCCTCATTTGTAAAATGGAGATGATATCTTTCAAAGTTATGGGTAGGGATAGATTCTGTACTTCCACAAGGGGCCTGAAACACCACGTGGGTTCTCTGCACACCCTCCCAGCCCCACCGCCCAGGGCTGAGGCCACCATGTAGGGTGGGTGGAGAAACAGGAGCCCTTGTCTCAGAAAGGCTCAGTCGGTGGCTCAGATCAGTCACAAACATCTGGGAAGAGTCCACGCAGCATTCAGATTCACGGTGCGCATGCTCTAAAAAACGGGCCGGCTCCGTTTAAAGGGGCCCAACTGGAAGGAAGCAGGCGCACGTCGGGCTCCCCGGGGGGCTCTGGAGGGGCTGGTGCCTCTTTCCGTGCCCTGGAGCCTCAGGGCGATAGTTTTTGCATCTCTCTCAGAATCTACGCAGTTCCTTCCCCCCTCCTTTTTTTGAAATTAAATTATTTATTTATTTATTTTTGGGCTGCGTTGGGTCTTCGTTGCTGCACACGGGCTTTCTCTAGTTGTGGTGAGCGGGGGCTACTCTTCATTGCTGTGCACAGGCTTCTCATTGTGGTGGCTTCTCTTGTTGAGGAGCACGGGCTCTAGGTGCGTGGGCTTCAGTAGTTGCAGCACACGGGTTCAGTAGTTGTGGCACGTGGGCCCTAGAGCACGCAGGCTTCAGTAGTTGTGGCACACAGGCTCAGTAGTTGTGGTGCATGGGCTTAGTTGCTCTGTGGCATGTGGGATCTTCCCGGCCCAGGGATCGAACCCGTGTCCCCTGCATTGGCAGGTGGATTCTTAACCACTGCGCCACCAGGGAAGTCCCTACGCAGTTTCCTCTTTACAGACAAGCATTCTGGTTCAAAACCCAGATTCTGTGACCCCACCCACCTCTTGATTTCAATTGGTACGGGTGTGGCCCAGGAACCGCCATCATTGATGAGTTTCCCCAGTGATTCTTCCACAAGCTAAAGTTCAAGGATACTGAGGCAGAGTTTTCCGTGTCCAGCAGAGGACATGTGAATACCCAGTATAGACCTGTGGGCAGTGGGTGGTACACTGGACCAGGCGCCACCCCCCAACCTGACAACTGAGGACAGGGAAGCCAGTCTAAGGGATAGCGACGTGCCCTCCCTCCTCCTGGGCCCACCATTTGCTTTCTGGGGCCTCCTCACTGCAGCAGGGGCAGCCCCAGAGGATCGCCACAGCTGGTCATCAGGGATTCACTTCCAAACTGCTTCAGTGATTTTGTAAAGGGTGGAATTCCTGGCTTCTTTTTCCTTCGTCTCACAAAAAACTCCATAATCAGGCAACCCCGATGGGAGGTGCTAAGGAATGGGCTAGTGTGACCTGAAATAGCTTCAGTTTATTCTCCTTGGAAGCTCAGAATTCCAGGAGCCACTTGAAGCAGTCGATCCTTTCCCTGCACGCTTCACGAGAGAGAAAAAGAGAAAGAAGAAGGGAGTGAGAAGAGCTGCGAGTGAGGAAAGGAGAGAGGGTAGGAGGGAAGGATGGAGAGGAAGGGAGAGATAGAGGGATGGAGAGGGAAAGACAATGGGAGGGGAGGGGGAGCAGAGATAAGAGGAACAAGACAGAGGCCCAGAAGAGAGACAGGCGTATTGTGTGCATGCACTCACACATGCTTCTAGTGGGAGGTCGTCCAGGCCACTCTGCTCGCACTGGTCTGTCACTGCTCTGGTCCATGGCCGCCTGCCACAGCACTGGCTTAGTGCTGGAACGTCCGTGGCTGTGGCTTGGAGCCTCCCCTCTGGCTGAGGGCAAAAGCTGCTGACAAATCTGCCTGGAATATCTGAGTTTTTCCAACACAGAAAGAAGAAACATACACACACAAACCAGTCTTATCATATGCCTGGCAGAGTAGCTGGGGATGGGAAAATTCCATAATTGAAATGCAGATGGAGGACACCACTAAACTGCTGGACAACAAGCCCCACCCCACCCCCCTTCATGGTGACACCGTTCCAGCAGCCCTCATGTCCCTGATCACATTCCCACCCTGGTTTGCCCTCTTGTCCCCAGGCACTGTCAAGGACCTAGATGATCCCCACAAGAGCACTGGTGTTGGGTGACACACAACCCAACCCTCTGAAAGGAGAGATGGTACCCTACCAGCCCTCACCCTTAGCCAGTTACTAGCACGTGAAGACAGGAAATGCCCCTGCAGTGACCAGCAACTTTGGAGGATGTGCATGAGTCTTAAATGGAGCTCCCAACACCACCCCACTTCTACCCAGCCCCCTCAGGGCTTTGAGTGCCTTCTATTCTTCCTGAACCAGACAATTCCTTCATCTCCCCCTCCGTGGGTACAGAAGCCATAGCTTGAAGGGATATTAAGAGATAAATTCTGTATTAGGTACAGGTTGGGAGCCTCCAGGTTTCATTGCGCTAAACATTTGATGAGCACCTCTTATTTGCCCTGCACAGTGGGATCAGAAAGACTGACGAGACCTAAGTGAGGGAAAAAAAATGTACAAACTACATTTGTACAAAATGTGAATCCCGTTAGGACGATGTGGATGCTAAAGGCACAAGCAGCTTGCTGCGGGATCTTGGGAGAAAGAGCCGTGAATTAGGTCTGAGTGACTGTGGGAAGGCTCTGTGGAGGGCCTGGTATTCGGACCAGACTTTGAAAGTTGGACAAGATTTCAATAGAGAGAGGAAAACGGGGAAAGATGTTGCTGGTTCTTCAAACAGCACCTACAAAGTGACATCAGAGATTTTAAACACTGCTGTTTTTACCACACCCGCTGGGCAGTGCAAAGGCAAAATCACAGATTGCAGTCCAGACTGTGACACTTTTGGGGGCCAGTCACATGCCTT